TGTGCACTGTTTTATTTTCAGATTATATTGTTTGGATGGATGTTTAATATTATTGTTCTAAAATATTATCTTAAAATAATGTAAAATTTATAGTGTTTCACAAAAATTTAATTTATTGAGAAAAACTTCAAACTTGTGGTACTCTCATTTTACGATAACTATTGAACTCTTTTACTACCATATTTGGCTGTACCTTGTTAAATATCAGAAATGTGGTAGTTCAATGATTCTGACGGCACTTTTCTTTGAAAACGCTTTTGTGTGTGTGTGTGTGTGTGTGTGTGTGTGTGTGTGTGTGTGTGTGTGTGTGTACGTGTGTGTGTATGTGGGTGTGTGTGTTGGGTGTCTATTTTTTGCCGACTTGGTTTTTTTTTTGTAGAGCCCTCTAAATTTTTATTGTATGACCTTAAAAAAAAATCAGACCCACATTGGCTTAGTGCAGCCGAAAAGAAGAGATCGACGAAACTACAGTAGTGCGTGGCATCCAGAATACTAAATATCCTCAAACCTTCTATATGTGTATTCTTACATGTATTAAACACAAATTACTTCGATAAAAAAAAATGTTTGCTACCGTAAATAAATAAGTACATGATCGCACAGTTTAGAATCTTTTTTAGTGTTTTTATAGAGTTTAGGAAATATTAATAAAGTAAAATAGAACAAAACTAAGATTTACATGATTGTCTGTACGTATTGACGGAAGTTGGAACGCAGCTTGTATGTGACTGCTTGTCATTAAGTATCAAAGCAGTCAGCACTATCGCTTTGCAGTTTAGTAAAAATTATGTAATATGCGACTAATAAAGTGTTGTGTAGTAACTTGCCTAAATAATAAGAGAAATAGTACTCATCCGACATTTTACAAATTCTTAAAAGTATGAAATAAAAATCAACAAAGAGGAAAGTAGATAAATGCTATTTAAAAAATATGGTACGTTAATGTAATCTATCAGAATATTTTAGTGTATTTCTCATTCAACTTTATCGAATAACTGAAAATTTTCGATTTCAGTATTTTGTAAAGAATTTCAATTCTGACACACAATGCAGTCTGAGCTTAATTCCAGTAAAATTTCTAATTGTCTACAGAAAACCAAAATTTTATGAGAAGATGTAAGTTGGAAAGACAAGTGACTTATATATTGTCAAATACATAAAAATGTTTATGCAATTATAACTTATGTTAATATTGATCAAGACATACTAATCATCACTTCAGATGGAAGTGATCTCTCAACAAATGAACCTGCTTTACATAATAAGTCTCAAGAGTGCCAAGTCGATTTCTTGCTACTTACTCACGTACCTGCACAAACTTTTACATGAAACTTGTTTGCATTGTTTGGTTTGTGAGATTGTTGGAGGTTCATGCGTAGTGACTGTTCTAAATAGGAAAACAACTAATGAGAAAAATTGTGATACAGAGTTCTCTAAGTATGAGAACAAGAGTGTTGGAGTAGATATGCATAGTTTCCAAAAAACTGATGGAGGTTTTTTTGGAAAAACATTCAGTTTCACAGAACGTCAGTTAATAGCACTTACTAGATTAACATTTGCACTATTTAACTTACCAACATTTAAAAAGTGTAACGTGAAAAACAAAAATAACTTTTTTTTTTGCATAAAAATAACTTAGTTTTGCAGCCTTAGGTGTTTTGTTCATTGAAAGTGGACTTTCGAATTTTCTGGGGAGTGGTAATAAAGTGTTAGCTAATATGAAGGTTTTCCAGAAATTAAGTTAAAACTAGATTTCGACTAAAGAGACGTAATGCCAGTTTTTTAAAAAAATCCTGAATTCAGTGAAGAAGAAGTTAAAGCAATGTGCATCATAGTGAGGGTAGGAATTTATGTAGAACATATTATGCAAAGGATAAAATTATTGAAAATTTCATAAAAAATACCACCACATCCTTTTGAGCACATTGATGTTCATGTGTTGTGTTTTATTAATCGGTAACTGCCAATATTTGCTGGGGAAAATGGGATCCATTCATAATGTCAATATTATAATTGTAAATCAATTTTTAAAAACAAGGTATATTTAATAGACACAATAAGACATTAATTTTTAGTAAAGATTGATTAACAAAACATAAGTATACCTATGTTTTTTTTGGTTAACATGTAAATAAGAACGTTAAACTAATTAGCTTAACATATCTTTGTTTTCTTTCAAACGCTATCTTTAAAGAGTACTTGAAATAGAACCTTTGGCAAGCTAGAACAAGTTTATTTTCGCCATTTCATATCTATGAACTTTAATATTGCAGCTTCCAGTTCGAGAATAACCATATAAGACTTATACATTTAAGCCAGTGATATAAATTTAGACCCGACACTGGGGATATATCTAGTAAGAACTGCTTTTTCGTAATTCAGTAGCATTTTTTGACAAGACTAGACATTTTACATTACAGATCTGATTATTAAAAATAATGATACACTGATCTGCACATAAACTTGGACACTTGATCTTCACTAATCTATTTATATATTCATTTTTAATGACACGACTATCAATGCTGGCACCGAAATACGGTTGATCATCTGAAACAATTACACCAAGCTTAATCACGTGAATTAAAATAATTGCTTATACTATTGTACATACAGATTTTTATTTTCTAGGCCATATTTCATTGCTGGTGTGCTGACTTGACTCTTATTCATCATTTCAACAGACAGTTTTTCAGGCAGTTTTTTATATATTCTTTTTATATGAAGTACTTTATTTCTCGTTGGCAATCGTAACAGTGTTTCATTATGCCACCTCACACTACAAAATTGATCCACAGATTCTTGACACAGCTGCGTTATCTCCTAGTTATTAAACACTATGTTTTAGTCATAAAAATCTTGTAAAGCTGTGTTTTCAGTATCAATGTCTACACCAGTATTGTCATATACTTAACTTTCCTTCTTAAATATGAGCAAATTTTCTAAGTATGCTAACACTATTTTCGCATTGCTTAAAAAAAATTTTATCTCTTGTATCCAGCAAAGTTGATTCAACAAACGATAAACAATGAATTTTTTTTCTCTTTTAGTAACAATGAACGCAAAAAATAGGGTACTTTTTTGAAATCTTGGACAGTATATTCATACAGTTTTACTTCATTCTTCTTTCCCTTTTTTTTAAAGGAAATTTTCATTAAAAAAGTTGCTCTTGGAGTAGTTTTCTTTTGCAATCTGTTGGTCACTTGGCTTTTGTCATTCCTGCTTGTGGCACTTGTATTTTACACTAGTTTTCAAACTTTAATATCACACCAGTGACTTATACATAATATAAATTTGTAGGAGGATGAAGAAACAGAAGTTTGACGAATAACAACGGCTTCAATTTGACAACTAATGCCATTATTTTTGTACTCTTTGGCATAGCACATGTGATGACTCAAGGCAAGTACCTTGCTTTTTTTTTAATCCTTCTCGATTAAAATGTATCAAGGTATTTATTTGCTTGAAATCTGTTTCAATTATTATATACACGAGTTACTTTTTTTTTAAAATTCGATCACATAATTTCAAAAAAAAATCTTTATAATATGAATAAAAACAGATACAAGAATGTACTTTCAGATCAGCTGATAGGAATCCAAGATGGCACCTACTTACCATTCGTGACGGTGCCACCTGTTCTGCACTAGGCCAATAAGCTCTTTATATTTCTATTAAAACTTGCCACAAAGACCACGCACTTACCATTTTAATAGAATGGAATTTTAATTTTTCAACTTGTTTAATTGGTTTTACCACTTACAACATTTTTTCTAGATCTTATAGCTATCGAAATTTGTTATAAAACAAACAAAAAATCAAAAAAAAAATTCTTTGCTATTTAGATAGAAAATCATTTTGTTTTTGATGGCTCGTCTTAACTCTAAAACTTTTGGAGTTTTGGGGTACGGATTCTTATTTTGGGATATACCGATAAGATTCAAAAGGGTATATGACTAAAAAATAAATTTTTTTTGGAATGGACATCTTAATATATAGTTCTTATCTCGTGAACTCTAAAGATATTGCTTTACTATCATATTTTAGTTACCTGTAAGTGACTTCACTAACTTTTTCGACACACTGTCTTACTAATTTAAAAACTTCTTTTTCGAAATACTTTTTTTTCTGTAAAGTGTACAAGTTATTTATTTTCTTGTAACATTATATTGTTTGATTTCTTATTTAAAATGCATTTTATTTTTATGGATGTATTAGACACTAACTTACTAATCCCATTACCTAAGTACTTATTTTTATTAACAGTTCAAGAATTTGCTACGTTATATAAAATTAACGTATGTAACTTGTTAAAAAAAGTCTTTTTTTTAAGTAACAAGACCTTTGCTTCAAGTTTTGTTCATCTTCACGAAGTATCACAATATATAAGTCATTTATCTCCATTGAGTGTGCCTTAGTACCTTGTAACTTGCTACATCTATGTGTCTACTAATTGGCCTGAATTTAACTAATTATAGAAAATATTCATTTAAGATAAATAAAATGAGAATTTATTTGTTTTCTACTAAGTGAAGAATGTCTAACTTTCTTCTTATAAAGTGTTACAATCTTTAAAGGTTATTACAAAAAAAAAAATTTTGTTTGTCACTCAACAGTTATGAAAGTTATGTAAATAAGATGATTACATGATGTTAGAAAGAAAGGGTATGAGATAAGGTAGCTCAAATTGGTTGCCGTTATTTTAAGGATAATAAAGTATGGGTTACGTGACAAAAATGTTGATAAAACAAAGAAAAAATTTGTAGTTGTCTTTCAAAATGAAAAGTAATGGAAAACGTTGAGTCTTTAAACCGGTCAGCGATCCAAGTACTAACTGTGGTCGACGCTGCTTGACTTCATGTATCGACGAAGCTGCAACTCTACTGCTTTGTCAGTTTAATAAATTTAAAAATTTTTCTTCTATTCGTTAAAATAGTTGTTAAGTTTGAACATTTTTTTATCTATAAATAATCACCTCAGAATATAATATCCTGTTTAAGGGTCGTCAAGGCAAAGGCTCCATTTTTGTATGGGCTTCAGGAAATGGTGGTCGCCACATTGATTCATGCAACTGTGATGGTTATACAAACAGTATTTTTACTTTATCCATATCATCAGCTACACAAGGAGGTTTTAAGCCGTGGTATCTCGAAGAATGCAGTTCAACACTTGCTACAACTTACTCATCTGGTACACCTGGTCATGATAAGAGTGTCACTACTGTAGATATGGATGCTAGTCTACGTGAAGATCACATTTGTACTGTTGAACATACAGGTACATCTGCCTCTGCTCCTCTTGCTGCAGGTATTGCTGCCTTGACTTTAGAAGCTAACCCAACACTGACATGGCGAGATATGCAGTATCTTGTTGTTCTTACGTCTCGTTCTCAACCACTAGAGAAAGAGTCTGGATGGAGCCTAAATGGTGTTAAGCGTAAGGTAAGTTAAAATTTCTGCTAAATATTTATTACTTCAAACAACATTATTTTCTTTTATATCCATTGAAATAGACTATTTTATGATTCTTAAATAATGATCTGAGCTATTATTTTTCGTGAAATTTAAAAAGAAATTGTGGAGATGAATAATACTCTGAGTTAATTAAATTGTGATAGTGACTTTTGGTGATATAACATTTGTACAATTTTTTCTACCTACATAATGAGTCGAATGTACAAGTGGTGTAAGCCACCAAAAGGATTTACATTAATTTTTTTTTTTTTAACTCAATTTTTTTTACTTTTTTTTACATAAAAACTTGAATATAGACTACAAAAATTGAAAGAAAAATATTTTATTTTCCAAAGTAATTACGTAAAAATTTTTAGTTATATTTTTTAACAAGTCATCAATGTATTTTAATGGGACTTTAAAAAATTTTCAATAAGATATTTTTCAGTAACCATATAGAATATAATCATTTCGATAGTTTTATGAGTAAGTGACTAATGGAAAGTAGAAGTGTACTTGTAGTGATCCATAACAAAAAATTCGAATACGTTTTTTATCTCTAGTAGTATCTTAGTAAGATAACTTTTTTTGATGTTGAGATGATTTAATAAAAAATGGTGTACTAGTAACCAAAATGTTTTCAAAAATAGGATTTTCTTTTTTAAGCAAATCATAAAATATAAACAACTGTTCATCAAGTATTTTGATTAGAACAAGAATAACATTCATGTATATTTTTAATTTCAATTTAAAATTCTTAAAGTATGTTTGCAATACTTGCAATTACTTATGAGATATTTAAAAAAATAGTTTTTCTAAACTGTTTCACAGGAGCACTCTATGAATTTTATTTATCGCTATAAAAAGTCCTACATTTGTGTTTTTTTTACTGCATTTCAAAATGAGAATCAATCCCTTAAATGGATTAAGTTTTGATTAGACACATGAAAATTTTTCTCATAATAATTGTACACCAAACTTTCGTGATACTTTTCGGACATAATTAATTTGAAGTTGTTTACAAAGTATTTATTTACAACAATCATTATCCACAGCTTTATTGAGCACAAATAATACAAATAATTAATTTTCTAGTTGTACACAGTACATTGTACACAAATATCACACTTCTAATTTTGTCCACAAATAAATAATAGTAACATTGAATAAAGCATAAGTTGCACACGAATTGGAGGTTAAGTTTCTATATACAAAAACTTTTTATTAATGCTTTGCACCATAGTACATAAAACATTTTACAAGTTATTATTTCATAAAAAATTTTTCATTTTTAAAATATTTTAACGTAGAAGATTATTTCAATTAATTTGATAGTCAATCATTAAACCGAAGCTATTGTTAATTGGAACTCTTGCGCCTATAAATATGTGTTAGTGTCCCTTAAAACGTAATAAAATCACTAAGAGGAACTATACTTGACAAGCAACAATTTTGACAACTAACAATTTTGACAAGTTGCTACACTAGTCTGTATATTCTATAAATCAGATAGTTATAATCCAAATAAGCCTCTGTTTAAAAGATATGAGATATCACCCACGGTACATATTTTTAAAAAAGACAAAGAGGTGTTCCGGATTTTGAACAGTATGGATGTCATCGCCGAGTGTGACCAGCAAAACATTTTTCAAGTCATGGCTGAAGAAAAAGGATGGACGCAAGACACTTAAGTGATCAAAAACAAAAAAGGAATTCTTTTTAAAAAAAAAGAGAGTGATTGTCGTTGTGATCACCAAAGTTATTTTTTAATTGTAAACTATTGTACATGTTTTTTTTTTTGGTGCGTTTTTACCGTTATTTGCATTAAAACACTTAATTACTGTTACTATTTTGGAATTATGTTTTTCTGAAATAATTTTTAAATACAATTTCTGTTTTAGTTTTCAAATTATTTGGGGGGGGGGGGGCTTAGCGTAACCACATAATTTTATTAAAATTTAATTTTTTTTTTTTCCTTTCTTTTCAGCCTTATTTTGTCATGCGATAAATATTTTAATTCACAACAGCTTGTGGATGGGAGGGGCTTTATAAACTTCCTAGGATATTTTTATTATTTTAATAGTCAAATATATCACCATACCAAAGCTATTGTTTATTTGAATTTTTACGCCAATAAATGTGTATTATCACCCTCTATAACGTAATAAAACGACTAAGCGAAACTACACCTCCTCCAGCGGCCAAGCTGCCTAAGTCAAACCGTAACCGCAAATTCGGATATAAAAGGCCCAGTAGGGACATGGCCTGATCACTCTGCTTCTGCTTCTGCGGGTCCGATCATTCACATATGAGCGTGACTCTTTAGTATGTCGTGTACATATTTAATGTTCAATTAATTAATATGTACCTATATTCTCTTAAAACTTTGTATTGTTCTTCATTCACACTTGACTTTAAAAAAAACAGACTAGTACAGGCTAGTACAGTCTCGTAGCTTTCCCTCACTATTGCTCACTTTCTTGGATCACTCGGATCAGGAGCTGGCTCCCAGGATATTTCAAACCGGGGGTAAATCCTCTAGATAGGGAATCGGTGGATCGGTGGATCTTCAGGGCAATACAAACTGAAGATATCCCGTGACATCAAAGAACTATCGTGCCTAGTAGTGTTCAAAGTGAGTTAAATTTCTTATTGTTTATTTAATGGCAGATAATTCACCTGAGATATCATGTCGTACCTGTCAGGAGCAATACGAACCAGACTGTGTACCCACAAGTAAGGTGTCTTGTGCTACGGGTTAGCTTAAGGCCTATAACTTGCGATCATTTTTATCATGACAATAGATATTAAAATCTTGTAGAAGTACAAATAAAGAAATATTTTAAGAAATAACTAATTAAGACATTTTATGCAGGATATTACAAATTATCTGCAGTTGCACATAATTATCATGATAAAAAAGATATTTTTTTGAGGGGTGTTTCTTGCACATGTCAGATTGTTCAGTGCACGACGGTAGAAAATTGTTTGTATGCCTAAGGTCAATCATAAATTATCATACGTGTCCCTTCTTATCTAATTGGTAATATTGTTTATTTAAAGCAACCAATTATATTTTAATTTGAATGAGCATTCAGACAAATACGATTGACGTTTAGTGTACTTGGAAATCAGTTGATACATCCTGCTAAATTTTTCAAATTCTGACATTCAATAACTGTTTTTATACTTTATTTCAGGAATATAAATGAATTACAAACAACACAGACATTTATGCTTTTAATTCTTTTAATTTACATTGTAAAATTAATATTAACAAATCTCATGAAACTCCTGTAGGATGACTGTACATTTTAAGCACAAACTGTACAAAAAATAAGATTTTAAAAATGTTTAGTCAGTTGTTCTAACGACTCCATTAAAAAAAATGAAAATTTATCTCAAATGAGTGAGCTTTGATCGCAATATCATGTCAGCTTGCCTCGATTTTACAATAAGCATTTAAAATACAGTTAACACATACAAGTACAGAAAAAGGATCAGTTTTCTCTAAAAAAGTTCTAATGAACAATAATTTTTAAGAGCTCCAGCGTGCCTGAAGCTTACCATGAATTTGAAAGATGAACAGGTTTAAAGGTTCTATTTAAGATTTTTTTTTGTCGATAATGTAATCGAATTACAACATAACGACTTTTTTTTAATGTTCAAGCGTTTTTTGCAGTATCACGTAAGCTTATTTCAATCGTACGGAAAATATTTCAAATACAGGTAAATCACCGGTGAAGAAAATTCACCTGCTTTTTTAAACAAACTTTAAGTTTAAATAAACAATAATTCCTTAAGAATTTCGGTGCCTTTAAGGCTTACTGTAAATTTGGTAGATAAACAGATTATTATGCAGAAGATAATGCGATTTGATATATAAGGATCAAACATTTTAAAAATATTTTACCTTAGTTCTGAGTATCACGCAAGCTTACTTTGATTGTAGAGAAAATATTTTCAATGCGTTTTACATTTAGTTGTAAAGAAAAAAGACCTGGTTTCCCAGTCAATTCTAAGTTAAAATAAACAATAATATTAATACAATATTAGTGCCTTTAGAGCACACTGTAAATATGTAAAGATTATGGATATGATTTCTCTAGCAGATTCTAAGTTTTACTCAACAATTATTTCAATAGAAATCTAGTGCCTCTAAAGCATACTGTAAATTTGTAAAGATAATGAATATCCTTTCTCCAGCAAATTCTGAGCTTTAATAAAAAATAGTTTTTAAATAATTCCAGTGCCTCTATAGCCTACTGTGAATTCAGTAAATAAAGAAATTATCATGTTTTGTGTAAGATTTTTCTGATGTAGATGATGTGATTCGATTTCCAAAGTTGAAACATTTTTAAAAAGTTTGAAGCTTGGTTTGCAGTACCACGCAAGCTTACTTTGATTGTACAGAAAATATTTCAAATACAGTTAACATACATTGATAAAAGAAAAAGGATCTGCCATCTCCAGAAAATTCCAAGTTTCACCAAATTAATAAGGATTATAAGTTTTTTAACATTTTAAGGTTTGGAGTACTACGTAAGCTTACTTTGATTGTACAAAAAATGTTTAAAAAACATTTTATACATTTCGATTTTTAATTTAAATAAACAATAATTTTAATAGAATTCGAGCGTCTCTAAAGCATACTGTAAATACGTACAGATATGGGTATGCTTTTTCCAAAAAATTCAGTGTTAGTAAACAATAATTTTTATTGAATTACAGCGCTCCTAAAACATACTCTGAACTTGTAATGATAATGGATATTTTTCTCCAGCAAATTCTATGTTTAAAAAAATAGCAATTTTTTAACTATTCCAGTGCCTCGAAAGCCTTAGTAAATTAATAGATCATTGTGTTTTATGTACGATTTTTCTTATGTAGATAATGTGATTCGATGTCCAAAGATCAAACATTTAAAAACCAGTGGACAGTTGGTGCTTAGGTTCCCAATTAAGTAGTTATACTTTTATAAAATTATA